GCTTCTCTGAGGGCCAGAAGAGGCCATATGCTTCTCCGTGTTCTCAGCCCCCAGTCCAGAGCCTGGCACACTGTGGACCTTCCAGGAATGCTTGCTAGATGAATGAACAAAGACTTTGTCTCTGCCTTGAGGATCCTAAAGTCAAAGGTGTCTCTGAGCTAAAGATGAACTTGAACCCTCTACAGAGATGTGGCCACTTCTGGAGAAACAAGGACAAGGTCATTCTGATATAGAAAGAGCCAATATATCAATTCTTTCTTTTCTGTCTTTCCTTCCTCCCTTTCCTTCCCTCCCTTACTTCCCTCCCTCTTTCCTGCTTCCTTTTTTCCCTTTCTTTCCTTCTTTCTTAAATTTTGGAAAAGAAGGGATGGAGGTACCTTGGCAAATCTGACCCCATGTTGCACTGTAATCCCCTACAACTGACAGGAGAATCTTCATATGGTCTGTACCTGGCAGGGTTCTCATAGTTGCCAGCAACAGAAATAGACTCTGGCTAGCTGATGCAGAAAGTGAATTTGCTAGTTAGATAAGGGAGAGTTCTTACAGAATCAAACAGAGGCTGGAGGACAGGGCCAGAACACAGAGAGGGACCAAAGAAGGCAGGTTGCCAAGAACACAGCTGAGAATGAAGCCCAGGTCAGGCCTCAAGTGCTGTCAGTCAGGGTTTGGTACTTTCCATAACTTCTGAGCTGTTCTAAACTATTTCTAAACGTTGTGATTCTCTTTAAGGTTCAAAGTTGAGAGGGGAGCTTCTGATTGGCTGTCCTGGGCCATGTGCCGTGCCCTGTGGCCAGGAGGTGGGTGACGGAGGACCTTCCTTCAGTTGTCACAGTTAGAGCAGGGCCTGGTCCTTCCTCAACAGGGAGCTCCCCCCAGGAGGAAGGAGGTCTGCAGGATGCTGGGCCCTGAGCTGGTAGCATCTTTATTCTTTATGGTTGTCAAGGTGCTCCCTCACTGCCCCAGGAGGAAGGCTGGGCGGGCATCATGATTGTAATTGCAGAATGGAAACCGGAGCTCAGAGAGGCTGAGAGACTTGTCCAAAGTCACATTAAGAGGTGCCCCACAGGTTTGGGGGAGAGGCAAATGTTTCCTATGGAGAGGCAGATGGGGAGAACTCTGGGCTCTTGGTGGACAACCCTGAAATGGTTTGAGAGATGGAAACTCCAGTCAGGAAGAAAGGCTGGCATTCCAGGGAATAATCCCCTAGAGAGGAGGGGGCACTGGCTCAGGGGATAGAGGTTGAGTTCCCTTTACCAGTTCTGAGTCTCCTGCCGATGCTGCCGTCTTGCATTTGGCTGCTTCGTGTGTGGATAGCAGGGCTGCTACTCACCTACAGGGTCAGAAAGCTCCCACGGCTCCTGCGGGGAGAGTCCACATGCATGTCCCGGGACCTTGCTCACACACTTCCCTCCACCCGAGACGCCGCTGTGCTTTTGCTCCCTGTGGAATTCCTGTTCATCGCAGCAAAACTCAGCCCTGAAGTCTCTTGGTCCAGACAGCTTTTCTGAACTCAACCTTCCTGAGAATCCATCACCCCACTCTCCTTGGGCTACCTCTCCGCTTTGTGACACTTACCTTGTCAGCCTGTACCTGATTTATATATCTGTCCCCTCTTGGACTGGGAGCGCCTCAAAGACAGCCTGTTATTCACAGCTGTGTCCCCAGTGTGCAGTGCGGGTTTGTTCCTAGCAGATCTGTTCCCGGCTCCTCTGCTATGCTTCAAATCACAGCAGGACTGGCCCCAAATCCCACTTGGGTCTGCAGCTTCTGGCTGGGGTCAGCCAAAGAGAGGTGCTGGGGGAGACCAGAGCTGAAGGCAAGAAGCCAGGATGTCTCTTCTTCATCCTTGACCTTAAGCAGTGTCTCTCGTAGTAACTGTGTCTCCGGCTCCCACCTGCCAGCTCCACTGTGCTCCCATCTTGTGCTGTGTGACCCTGATCCTGGTGACTGCTTCCTCTCTTTGTCCCTCCAGCCTAGGGTGGGTAGCAGCTTTCTGCTGTTGCTGAACTGAGTCACCTCAGCATCCCCTGTTTGAATTCTCGGCTCTTCCATCACTATATGACCACAGTTGCTTTGAATCCCCTATTATGCATTCAAAGCAGTTCTGTGGGCAGGCTGCACTCGGACAGACACCCCAGGTCCTAGCACAGATCTTGGCACAGAGCGGGCACTTGACAAGTGCTTATGGAATAAAAGTGGCTGCCTAAGAATTTCTATGAACAGAAGTATGATGCCCACATTGGAGGAGGTGAATTCAGCTGAATTCAGTGCTGTTTTGTTCACTTGTAAAATGACTGCAGAAAGCCTGGGGAGCCATAGTTTGAGAAAAGGTGGCAAACCAGAAAGAAGCAGGATTTAGGATTGGAGAAACTTTGAAGAGTACCTCTTCCAGTAGTTTTATTTTATGAATGAGGAATAGAAGTCTTATGAGAAGTCATGTCTAAGTCAAAACCAGTTAGAGAGCCATCTGAAATTCAGAAACCAGATCTCCCAACTCCTGGCTCTATCACCATCTGACAGTGTGACTCCCTGAGACCTGCCAGACCACATCTCCAGCCCTGCCCTTTGTCCTCAGGCCCCAGACTTCTGTGTCCAGTGGCCTCCCTGACCTCTGCACTCAGTCACTGCACTGGCCTCTCACAGTCTACACACCCTGGTGGGGTGGGGGTGCTCTTGCTCCTCTTCCCTCACTCCCCATCTCAGGGAATAGCAGCCTGTCCATTTATTTCCACAAGCCAGTAACCTGGGGTCTCCATAATATTTCCCTCTGTCTCCCCCCAGCATCACTCCATCTCCCAAGTCTGTAGATTTTTTACCTCCTGAATATCCCTTCCCTCCATTTCTACATCACCATCCCAGACCAGGACTCTAATACCTGGACAGCTGAGATAGCTTACAGAGATGTGAGCTCTGGGGGTGGGGGGGGGGGAGGAATTTGTGTGCATACATTTCTGTGCATGTTTTATTCACTGATGTATCCCAGTGTCAAGATTCCCAGGGGTTAGCAACTTTTTTGCAAAGGAGCAGATAGTAAATATCTTAGGCTTTGCAGACTGGAGAATCTCTGTTGCAACTCCTTAACTCTGCAGTTTTACTGTGAAAGGAGCCATAACCCGATGGACATGTCTATGTTCTGCTAAAACTCTCTGTACAAAAATGAGGGGCAAGGTGGATTTGGTCTGAAATGTGTGGTTTGTTCCTGGTTGAGAACTTCCTGGCACACAGTAGATGGTAAGTAAATATTTCTAACTGAAGAAAGATGCTCTTATCATCTATCACCTCCCAGTCAGTTCCCTGTTTTTCCTATTTTCATGACACTCCCACCCCTCAACCTTCATCCCAACCATCTGCTTCAAAGCCTCCACTCCTAGGATAGAGATCAAACCCTGATGAAGCCAACATGCTCTGTATGTCTGGGCCCTGCTCTCACTGTGGCTTTACACTTCCTGACCTCCTCACCCTTTGCAGGGCTCCAGCCCCTCTAGACTTCCTTCACTTCCTTATGTATACCAGTTCCTTCCCACCATGAGGCCTTTGCACATACTGTTTCTTTTGCCTAAAACCCACTCTCTCTCTCTCCATCATGCATCCCTCAGATCTCAACTCAGAGTTATCTCCTCCAAGAAGTCTTCCCAGGTCCCCTAGGCCAGGGGACCATTAAAATATTCCTCTTCCCAGCACCGATTCTGACTGTAATTTTACCTTATTATGTGTTTCATTGACTGTTTTTCCTGTTAGAGAAGCTCTACAAGGTACAAGGACCAAGCCTATTTCTTCCTCTGTCACATCCCCAGAGCCTATTTCAGTTAGCTAGTGTATAGTAGCAATAATGAGTAAATGGTAAAGAACGGAGCTTTGGAAGCAGGCAGATTCTAGGTTCAGTACCTGACTCCACCACACGGGTAACTCATGCACCTCCCTAAAGCCCGTTTTATTCTGGTAAAACCACGCTAATGACACACCTACCAGAAAAGCTGTGTTGAGATCAGAATGAAGTCAGGTCAAAAGTCTCAGCCCAGAGCCTGACTCCAGGCAGCTATTGTCAATATGCTGATACAGGTCCAGACATCCAGTCAATGATATACGGTTAAAAGAATTCAGAATGTTTAGCCCTGGGAGGTAAGATCAAGGTCAGGGAATGACCATCTTCAGCTATAGACTCTTCCTGTTTCCAGCTGCCTGGAAAAGTCATGAAGTCTCCATCCTTACATATGTGCAAAAAGAAGCTGGGAGACCCTTATTCAGGTGTGCACCTTGCATGGGTGAGGGTGCCCAGGTGACATCACCGGTTTCTTCTAATTCGGGGCCCCTCATTTGTAAGCAACTGGGGACATTTTCAGTTTTGATTGATGGAGGGGGCGCAGATGGGAGAGCATGAGTAGGGTAGGCAAAGGCAGCTGGTTGAGCCAACACAGCTAAGTGGTCCCAATGACTAGAGGGACAGCCCCGCTCGGCGCTCAGCGCGACTTTGGGAGCAGAGAGGGGGCGCTTAAAGCCAACAGATGGCGCAGGCTTACCTAGACCCGGGCGCCCGTTCGTTGTGGCTTCCCGGGAGCGTTTCCCCGTTCCGCCGGAGGCTAGCCTGGCCCCCACCCCTCTGAGGGACAGTGGGCGGCCCTGCGGAGCGCGGCTCCCTCAAGCACCTGGGGCTGCTTTCTCCGGCTTCCTGCCTGCCCCTTTGGGGGATTCGTCGAGTTGCCACAGCAGCCGGTGCCATGACATCGGCAGAGGGCAGTTTCGCCAGCACTGAAATATTCATGCCCTAAGCGCCTGGCCCCGGCTTCGCGCCGCTCCCGGGGTCCGAGCGGGGTCAGGGGTTGGGGGCTCAAGGATCCTGGCGCCTACCGTGGTGGGATGGTGGGCGGCGGGGCGCGGCGGGGCAGGCAGGGGCTGGGCGAGGCGGGAGGTGAGGGAGGGAGCGTCAGGAGGCGGGGTCTGGGTGGAGGGGGCCGAGCAGGGCGGAGGAAGCGAGGGAAAGTTGATCGCGGACTTGAGCCGCGGCGGAGGCTCTGGAAAGAGGGCTGCGAGCGCGATGCTTGGTGAGAAGACGAGTCCGACGGCTGCCGGGCGCTGATCCCGGCGGGGCGGGGCGGTCCGGCCCCGGGCATGGGACGCCGGGGTGCCGGGCTTCGGGACGATTGGGGCGCGCCTCGTCTGAGCTCGCGGCGCGCCTGAAGTTGCGGCCGGCAAGCAGCCAACAGAGAGCGGACGGCCGAAGGGGACCCAGGAGCGGCCAGCGCGCCGTGGATGAGCCTTCGCACCGGCGGCGAGACGCGGCGGTGGTCAGTACTCGAGCAGGCGGCCTTCCGGGGCCCATCCAGCGGAGAGCAGAGCCCAAGGCGCGGCGCCGCTCCGCACATGCACACGGTACCAAGAGCCACGCACCGCCCCTTCCTTCCCCGCTTCCCTCGCCTTCTCCGAGCCGTTCACCCGCCACGCGGTGGGAAAGTTGGAGCCGTGGGGTCGCGACCGTAGCCGCTGAACCACTTGTTCTCGGCACGGCCATCGCCCTCGGCGGGCGCCCGGGGCCTCCTTCCCTCCCCGGCTCCCAGCCAGCATCCTGCGTCCCACTCCCAGCCCGCGGCTGGACGCGCGGCAACTTTGATTCCTGGCAACTCGAATTCCCTCCGCGTTGGCCTTGGGAGGAAAGGCACTCCACTTCCCACCTCGCTTCCTGGACCCGGGGACGTTCGTGCGCTTTGCTTTCTGCGCCTCACAGAGGGTCTGGGTCTGGGGTGGGGAGAATTTCTAGGGCAAAGAGGGCGTTGGGGTCCGATCTCGTCTCCTTCTGCGCTCTGGATCCCCCTTTGGACAGTGGAGATGGGGTGGGGCACAGCCCCACCGCGGGGTAGGCGTCGGCACTGGAGGGACCTAAAGTCACGTAGCTCTCTCCCCTCATCACCTCTCCGTGCCGGCCAGAGACCCCAGAGGACTCCGGCTCTGGGCCGGCTCTGGGGAGACGCACGCCTCGAGGAGCAGGGCGCCTGTGCGGCTCGCGCTTTGCCTTCCCCGGCCACCTGCAGTGCTGGTTGTCCCCAGGGGCTTGCGCTCAAGAACGCAGCCCCCGTCTCCCCTGCAGGTCAGCCCGGGACGCCTGCAGAACCCGTGCGTGCCAAGGTGGTGGCGGCGCCAGCCGGAGGGCTCTCAGTGCCTCGCTTTCCCGCGGAGCCAGCACCTAGAGCCGCTACCTCCGTGCCTGCGGCCGAGATCCTGTGCCCTTGCCGCCGGCGACCGCCCCCTGCGACCCTAACCCGCAGCCCTTGTGCCGTCAGCAGCCCACCTCGGGCAAATTAGCCTTTCCTGGGTAGTAGCACGCCCCACCCTCCCCAGTAATTCAGGGAGCAGCGCCTGCCTCTTTTTTCATACTTTGCCCTCTCATACTAGAGAAAGCATTGACTCTTACCTTTCAGCCGCTTAGCAAGTACCCCCCACCCCAATTTGGATTGGATTTTGAAATAAGCTGGAGAGGCACAGGAGGAGTGTGTGTGTGTGTGTGTGTGTGTGTGTGTGTGTGTCTGTTGGGTGGAGTCAGACAGTTGCCCAGGGGAGAATTAAGCTGCCCAGGGTGGGGTGGGCTGAAAAAGCCTGGCTGAGGCCAGGTAGAGAGGTGCTGATGAGTCAGCCCGTTTGTGGGGTGAGACCAGGCTTGGAGTTGATGTTTGGTTCATGGTGCAGGGGTAGGCGCACTGCGGTCAGCACCTATGAGGGTGGTCAGCACCTATGAGTCTGGGTGACCGGATGTCACTCCGATGGAGGGGCTTGGAGGAGGCCCCTTAGCTGGGGGAGCTGGGATGCTTGGCGCTGTCTGGGGAGAGTGGGAATGCAGTGTGGCTGAATGGCAGAGAGGGAGGGTACCCTGTGGGCTGGAAAGGTGATACTACAGAAGTGACTGGTGTGAACCAGGTGGCTCTGCTCTGGATTATGGAGAGCTTCGAGAGTGTGCGAGAGGCCCAGAGCTGACTGACATCCTAGCCTTCTCTGGGCTGAACCCCAATATACACATCTGTCTCCACCTTCCTGACCCCCCAAAAGCTGTGCTTCTCACATTTGCTTACCAAAGAGGTTAATTTGAGGGTTATGATGATGGATGGTCCTGGTTGCCTCCCAGGTATTTCCTCTGCCCATACAAAGCAACCTTACCTGCAAACTCACCATTTAAGGTTCGTTTCTTTGAGCTTAATATTTTGAAGGGCGCCTTTCTGAATCCGTAATTAAAAATGCACATACTTCTGGGAGGTGAAGGTCTAGTAGAGCCTTGCTACTCTGAGTGTGGCCTGTGGACCTGCAGCATCAGCATCACCTGGGAACTTGTTAGAAAAGCAGATTCTTGCACCCCACCCCTGACCTCTTGAATCAGAATCTGTATTTGACAAGATCCTTGAGAGGTTTGTTTTATCAGTAAAGTTTGAGAAGCCCTGGTCCACAGTACCTTCTCAGGAATGAGCATTTCATAGCCCTTGGTGAAAGAGTGTCAAAAAGGTCACTGGATAAGAATGTAGGTTTGAGAATGAGTTTGAGACTGGAACTTCTTTTCCTGGACATTTATGGTAGGATTGGATTAGTTGTCCACTGCTGGCTCCTTGAGGGAGCCTCCTGCTAGTGCCAGGAGGGTATCTGTGTTTTGGGCATCTTTAGACAGATCCAAGTAGCAGCTCAGTTTTCTGTGTAATTAAAACACTGTCATGTGTGCTGCATGTGGGCCTGTAGGAAGTGGGTGGAAGGGGCAGGGTTTTTGGAAGCTGGATAAACTGCTCTGCCTCTAGGAGGCCTGGGGTTGGGTAGATGCTGTTCCTTAAGGAGAAATAATTAAGGAACTGTCCTCCACTTCATCTGTCCCTCCCAGATGAATGGAATGACTCACCAATCACACCTCTCCACAGTTTTAGGATTTATGCAGAGGGAGCTGCAGAAATGCTAATTTGGGGCAGTCAGCAGAGGAGAGGATACCAGCCAAGCTCCACTCTTAATTACCCCTGCCACCAGCCCAGGCTGGACACCCCGTTTCTGCCACTGGTGCCCTGGGAGGTCCCTGGGCCCAAGAAATAGGATGATGCCAAGGCACGGGGCAAGTCACTACCCATGGTCCTCTGGAGGAATAGTGGTGACCCCGACGCCAGCAAGGCTGGCCTGAGACTGGGGATCTGAGGACTTCAGAGCCTTGGTGGGGCCAACGGTATCACAGGTGAAAGATTATGGCATGACTTGTGCGCCGTAGACCTACTTAAAGAGGACTGTCCTTTCTCTGTGCTGGCCTTTTTGCCGGGAGGCAGAGTGGCTGGGGGAGCTGTGGGAGAACGTGGGTTGGCATGGTCTTGGAACTAACAGACAGTGACACTCATGTGAAAGATACCTTCATCTGTGAGTTCAGAAACAACTGGTTAGTAGAAGTCTTACTGTTTCCTAGAACCCTCAGGTTTTAAACAAAATTCATTGTTTTAAAATGTGCAGGTGATTTATTTTTAGCAAATTAATTTAAATGCCTTTGTTCATTTTTTTAAAAATTATTTTCGAGCCTTGATTTGAGTTTTTCTTGGCCCCAGGTAGTCCTATTTGTCCATTTAATTGGTGTGCCAAGTTATTTGTGAGTTGGACCCTGCCGGATGGGTTATTTCAGAATGGGGTTATTTTGTCTCCAGTGGAAGGGAAGTGGGGAGGGGAACAGGTTCTTCTGTGCTCTAGCCTCCTGCACCAGTGTGGACAGTACCATGAGTCAGGCGGGTGGGAGGGGTGGTCAACTCCCCAGCTGTGCTTCCCTCAGTCACAGCCCTAACCCTGCACTTTGCCCTTCTCTGCAGTGGTCTGGTCTCTCACTAGACCCTGAGCTCCTTCAGCATGAGCTGTATCTTATTCCTCCTCGTATCCGCAGGGACCGATGCTTAATCACTGTCCATTGACTCAGTGGCTGTTACATCAGCATCTGGTATGCCTATAACCAGTTTTAACTATTCACATTGATTCCTTTCCGACTGGGCAGCTAGTGACCGTCTTGCTGTATCCTGGGCTCTAGGCAAATGCCTCTGGAGTAGAGGCACAAACTCATGTGCCTACAGGGGCTGCGAAGCTGACCGGAGAGTAAAGCAGCATCGAATGTAAGACGATAGGGCGTGGTGGGGACTGTGGAGAATAGAAAAGCACAGGCCCCAAGGAAAAGGCACAACTGTAGGCAAAACCCGCCTATATGACAGTAGTCAGAAGCATGGTTACTCCAGGGTGTGATGACTAGGGCTCAAGGGTTGCTTTTGGAGTGCTGGAAATTTCCATATCTTGATCTGCCTATCTACAAGAGTGGTGAGTGATCATTTGTGCAGAAGAGTCAATTCAGAAGAATTAGAGCATTTATGGAGATAAATAGAAGCATATTTATTTTGGTTCAATATGAAAATAGCTTTATTGAATTCCATAAGGCAGAAAATGCATACTCTTACCAACGCTATTGACTAGAAGGGTGTCAGTGAGAAACTTGGCATATTTAAGAAGTAGCCACATGGAGATAGCTTTCTAGTCTTTCATTGTGAAATGTAATCTGGTTCTGTCCCGGGGAGTGGTACGGGCTGCTGCTGCTGCTTCTTTCTGGCTGTGTATTTGGGTCTCAGCAATCATGCTCCTGGGGCTCTGTCTCCCTTCAGCAGTGATAGTCTGCAAGGCTCCGTGTATTGTTGGGGGCTCGGGGCTATCAGACGTCTGTCCCCAGCTCCAGGGGCCTCAGGCGGTGACATCGAGAGTGACACAGCAGGTTCAGGCTTAGCGTTTGTAGTTTTGATCTTTCCTTTGCAGAGTCTAACAGCTCATGCAAGAGTTGGTTATTATTATGATCATAAACCTGTTCCCTTCCTAATTTTTGTGAGGCCGCTTGGAGGCAGATAGAATTTCCATTCCTGAGCTAAGGCTAAGGCCCTGCCCAGGCCTTAGTTTTCTCAGTGGTTGAATGGGAATAATTTCCAATTACATTGTAGGCTTGCTGTCAGCATTAATAAGAAGAAAACTCTACAGAAATCCTTTTGTGCAGGGCCTGGCACATGGTACACATGCAGAATGTGGTAGCTTTTTTATTATCCCTTTTCGATTCAGTCATGTGTTAGGCATATTGTATTCCAGCAAAGAGGTGAAACCTTCCCTTACTTTGAGAGTTGGACAATCTATAAGTTCTTAAATTGAATTCTGCCTGGGGATGTGTGCATGTGTGGTTGTGGTTTTTCATTTTGCATTAATTATTAGCAACATTAAAAAATGGCATTTTCATAATAAAGAGCTAGATTTCTGGCATATCTGGCTAGAACAGGCAACATTGGGTCTGTGTTCCCGATTGACGGTAATTGGTTGGGGCTGAGTTGCAGCCACCCCCTTTTATTTATTTATATTTTTATTTA